TCAGCAGAGCAAGATCACAGAGTCTTCCTTAACCTATGGAGGTTAACTGCGAGTGCCTCTCGGTAGAGCCCCCTTCAAGTTCAAGTGCTATCCAGGGCACGTACACTAACCGACATACCGTAGATAGACCACTGACGACCTCTGGCTAAAACATTTTCTTTTAGTAAAGATAGGTTGCCAGGCAACGAAACATACGCCCACAGCAGCTATATCGTCCGGGCAGTCAACAAGAGTTGCCGGATATTTTTACTTTTTTCGGTAATGAAACATTTATAATACATTAAAATCTGATTGAGAGTAACAACTGTTGAAGTAATTATCAGAAAACCATTAGAATTTGTTTGGTTTTTATAAAGTTCTGCCCCATGCTAACGTTTAGTATACGAAACTTTTAACATCATGGATTTGGCTGTTCAAGTCATAAAGATTCATTGAAAATCAATATACTTGTTCGTCTCAAGATCTTAAACTCTGTGTGTCAATCTGAAGTCAATCGGATATTAACTTTAGCCTCTAGAGCGTCCACAAGATTTTTCAAAGTGATCAAGGGCCATAATTCTGGTAGTAATTATCAGAAATCGCTGAAAATCAATAGGCGTCTTCGTCTCATGACCTTAAACACTGTGCATAAATTTAATGTCAATCGGATATTAACTTTAGCCTCTAGGGCGTCCACAAGATTTTTCAAAGTGATCAATGGCCATAACTCTTGCAGTATGTCAATCGGATATTAACTTTAGCCTCTAGGGCGTCCACAAGATTTTTCAAAGTGATCAATGGCCATAACTCTTGCAGTATTTATTGGAAATTGCTGAAAATCAAGAGGCTTCTTCGTCTCATTACCTTAAAGTAGCTAAGTCTCTAACTCAATATCATCCAAAACCTTCGCCATTGAAAACACGAATTATTTGTCAATTATAATCAATATTAGTGTGGTGATCTTACCGGGAAAATATGGGCTTCTGATATCCAATATTTTAGATAAAATAAACATTTTACGATTGGTACACGAATCGTGTACCATAATGCGTTTCAACGCAATTTTTAGCAAGCGACTCGAAAAATGAGGTTAGACATATTCCACGAGTCATGTCAAACGGTGACCCCATATTCTTATCTGGAGAGCATGCGCAATAAATACTATCGGTGTAGACTGGAATAACCAAACGCAGAGATTGCCATTCGATTGAGACTTCTGGCGTATTTCGCCGAACATAACTTCTTTGAAATTAGAGTAAAAACGAAAAAGATTGAATGTAAATCAGTTTATTTACATTCATATTACATTATTATATACGTTGCGACCCATTTGTGTCAATTTGTAGGTCCCAAATATTAGCGATGTAGCTCCTTTAAACACTGTGTATAAATTTAAAGTGATCATAATGACGTATGACGTAGATGGATCGCTGCGTGCAGTTTGGAAGTAACTCACATTTTATTGCAACTCAGATTATTGTGGTGAACTGATCTCTACCTGCTTGTAGCAACATATGCAAAGTCATTGGATAATGGTTTTGGTCTACTATTCAAGGCATACGACTACTATTCAATGTACAATATGTACTGTACCCTCCCATCCCGTTAAACAATATATTAAAAATCACACACGCACAAAGAAAGAAAGAACGAAACGAAATTACGTTAGATTTTGATCAGAATTAGTACACCCAGGTTTTAAATGAAGCCAAATTAAAGCCCTCTCCAACCTGTCACAATAACGGTTAGAGAGTTTTTAAAACAATACAAAACAAAATTTCTGTTCGTTAACTCCACTCAGCATCTTGATGTGTTTTGGATAAATAACGTAATGATAGTTAAATATGCTATCTGTCCGTACAGGCCAGCCATTTATATTTTTCCCTTCATACAGATAGGCCTACCTTTCTCGCCGTCTTTATTGAGGGCTGTATTTATCTGGTATACTATATAATATGGTAATTAATCTTTTTGTAATTTTTGTATACATCAACAGCTGTGGTCTGTATCATCCGCTTATTAATATAGCTAGTCACGAATACATTCTTGTATCTGTGGCTCTAATCTCTGAAGTCTATTTCTAGTCAAGGATTGGGTGTAAATTTTGAACGAGGTGACATCACCATCATCATGATATTTTTACAGAATTATGTCTGGAACCACGTGCGCGGGTCTAAAAGCGTTATCGCTACAAAAGTGGCGTCACGCGATCACAGAAAAAAATGACTAATGGTACTAATGGATAGTTGATGGCAAATCCGGAAATGTCAGCAATCTTTTGTCCTTTAAAGTGATTTTAAATATCCTTTTGATTGCGATTTAATAAGCTTATTAAAAGTTAATACGTTTGGAATATTTTGGTTTGTCTGTTAAAGCCATAAAAGCAGAGCACTGCGTAATCGCTTCACCGTTTTCCATTTCTTGTCGCTTTCTCCTCTCATTTTAAACTTCTTAGAAATGAAATGAAATGGGGTTTAACATTTTACGTTTCTGCACGGACTGGGCTAATGAAGACGGACTTATGCCATATTGCGTGCTATGAGTTAAATTTGCCCGGCCTTATTTCGAATTCCAATTGCCAAGGGTTGTACGTCCCATCCGAACGACAAGACACTGTTCTATTATCGTTATAATTTTCATTTCTCTCGAGCAAGTACACGTCAAAGGGAATACCCAAAATAGCTATCTATATCGGTATCTGGAAAAAGCTTGATCAGAGTTCGGTTTCTAAAAAAACGTAACTATAACCATAGGATGACAATGAATATTTTCTGGATAAGGACTAACGAATCCCAATTGAAATGCCACCCTGTAGTAAATAATTGTTGTGTTCTTCAGAGTTGTCCTCGGTGTATATCTGCAGTTCAATAAATAAAATGCCATTCAAATAGATCCTCGATTGAACAAATAGTACAACAAACAGTCAGCTCCCCAAATAAAAAGGAGATATAGTGCACTATAGAAAGACTAAGCATACACTCTCGCGTACACAACACTCGTGACTAGCTACGGAGTGGCAGAATTGGCATGGGTTTCAGGATTTTGCTTGTCAAGGTGTGTTGGATGGCTGAAGGTCTGTCATTGAGTCAACTGGCGGGGGTTTTGATTCTCCGGTTGTAAATGACAAGGAGTAGGGTTTCCTGTCCAACCTCGTGGGTTTTCTCCGGGTTCTCCGGTTTCCTCCCACTGCTAAAGACCCCTAGGCGCAAGCGAATTATTGGAATAAAATTGAACCATGTGTTAGTCCCGAAATGACCTAGTTTGTGTCAAGTGAAAGTTAACTCTCTTGCTTGTCAAAGGTAATTTAATGCATGTCAACTTCTCAATAGTCTGACCATTGGTGTGTGTGTGAGATTGTATTTAATGTCGACTTTCACAATGGCGTGATATCAAATTTCTTAACACAATTTTAAAATAATTAAAAGTTTAACAGATTAAACAAATAATTAATTGATATTGTTTTAACAAATACTGGTTCTATCATTTGACCATTTTAGCAACTCTTCGAGGGCACTTCGACTTGAACCATTCTTCGCTCCTGTTGTTTGTCTGGGGTCGGTGAAATTGTAATGATTGTATTTTTTAAAATGACATTTGGCGTGAAGATACATAATTATATCGCTAAATGCCACTCGATGATTATTAAATTCTACTCATCGGCTTTGTTTCCTATACCTTCCACGATATGCAAACAATAGCAATCTAGTTACAAGACAGGGCTAGAGTTTGTATTTTAATTAATTTCAAAGCAGAAAATAATTAGCACACAAAGTAACTTAATCAAGAGTTGATTGTGTTTTTATAAAAAGGGTCAAAGGTTTTTCCAATCTCTGGCATGATCTGGCTTCATTGAAAGAAACCATCTCGGTTATCTTATCTTGGCTAAAGATTAGTTTTTAATAGTAATGAACAATTAGCACTAAATAATAATTATACTGACTGTAATTAACGCTCGCGCAAGTAATATATCGTTATTATTTCTGAGTGAACTTTCATGCCTTTAATAAATATTATTAAATTTCAAAATTATAATTTACAGGTTCGGGAGGGGGTGAGGCTACAGGCAAACTCGATCTAGTACGCACACACCAAGCGCGGTAAGTTTAGAAACGGACAAATAATACTAAAATAAAAGTAATCGTATCAGAGGGTAACGAAATTGGTTGTCCCGCTACGTTTTGAAAATATTTAGAAAAACCAAAATAATTTAAATAAAACAACTATCCAGTTAAAATTCGTTTTTAAATAGCCAAACATCTCTGCTGAGGCAAGTTCTTGCTGACACCACGCACATAAAATACTAAAATACATGTATAGGAATATACTTCTATAATCTCGGATAGTGCAAATGGGTGATTACAGCTGCCCTGGTCAGCTGTAAATATACAGAACACATCCGTAGCCTACGGAAAATTGACACGCAAGGATTAACGATAGATTACCTATATTCGTAATCATTAGATAAGTGTCGATTTAAGAATGATAGAAATGGGGTTGATGGTCCATTCAACACAAACTATGTGTTTTTATTAATAAATCGCTGGTGATTAGGAGACTTTAGCAGGTGGGGAGAAACGGACGACCCAGAGAAAATCCATAAGTTTAGGCAAGACGACCACACTCCGTGTTTCGTGCTTGTGTGATCGAAACCATGCCACCTGGCGCAATGACAGACCTTATGATCAAGAGCATTTCACCCACCACATATTTAAGAATGGACGGGGAAAATTGCCTCAGCCACCACCCTAGAGCACAGTTAAAGCTTTAAACTTAATATTTCGCACCCACTTCCAAATTTCATTCTATTTTTGATTTATTATCTTAAAACATCAATGTAAGTGTTATAACTCTATTTAACTTCCGTATTCTTGGTAAAGTAAATGAAAAAAAAAGTCTTCGTATAGTAACTTACTTGAAGGAGTAATCTAGAAGTGTCCGTTTCGTCACAAGGATGGATTAATTTTGATTGGTCGATTTCTGACGTAGCCACGTGATCGCCCATTCATACAGACGAGAGTTGAACATGTGTCGTCTGCATTAAGTAAATGTTGTAGGACGGCTTCGTACGCTAAGCTTTCCTATGCTGTGAATGAATGAATGTGGTGGCTTCTAGTAATGTTAATCGCTTAGTAACACGCCTTTGGATCAACAACTTTGATCTTTTTAGCGTTATTTAACGTTTGCCTTTCAAGTTTAATACAGTAGCACCCTTTGTGGATTACCGGTGTTGTTTCAGTGATATTAATTCTAAAGAACAATGAAAGACCAGGCTTGTTCCGACTTCGTGTTCATGCCTTTAAAAAGTGAAAAGGTTTCGAAAAACTCGAGAGGTGGCACTCCTGAGATACACAGTAACAGTGAAACGTCAACGACAGAGTCGTCAGAAGACAGTATGGTGCGTTCCAAGATCGTTGTCGTAGGAGATTGTAACTGCGGAAAAACTTCTTTAATACAGCGGTATGTGAAAGGAGATTATAGCGAGGTATGTAGTAAACTTATTCGTATTTTCGGTGTTCTAATACATGTACACCGCCCTTTCTTATCATGGCTAACTGTTTGCCTTCTGCTAACAAGTGTGTATGAACATGTATATTTACTTAAGACACATTCAAGTATTTGGTTCAAAGGAGCCATGCGTGATTTTGAAATGAAAAAGGTCTCCATATTGCAAAACGTTGTCTAGCTCATATATTATCCATTTTCATTGATTAACTAAGTTAAATTATATAGTAAAATTCCTTATAACAGACATGATTTCTACCATAAAGTCTTCCAATATTCTATTCAAGGGTTTGGTTAGTAGGTTAGAGGGAGGCTTGGGGAATTTTATTTTGCGTCGTTTTCCTTGTTGTTAGAATATTTATCACATTTGGTTATGTTTCTTTAATAACACACTAACTTTTATAGTGGGATTAATAATGAGGCTTAGAAATTATTCCTAGATTGTAGGGTATTTTTTCAGAAAATAATGTGAGTAAATTCCCCAAATTATACAGCCTTTTATAAAAAGCGTAAGCCAATTCAACAAAGACATTTTGTGCATTGACAGAGTTGACAACTTGAGATTTTTATCGCTATTATTTATATAACTGTAAAGAAAATAATAGACATATGAAATGCATTCATCTCACAGTTACACCGACTTAAAGGTTCTCATTCATTCAATCATATCCTTGACATTAAAATATAATAGAGGACTACATTTTATTCGTGAGAGCGGCATTAAGTATAGCGGTAACTTCATATAATAAACTTCGTTTTGATCCGTTTATGTCATATTTATTGTATCCCGATTACATACAAAGTTATACCTAAGCGTTGGAACTCTCTCATGAATAAATAGGCACATTCTTTTGATAGTCAGTTGCCCCCTTTTTTAAAAAGAAAAGCCAACAAAATGAATAATTTTATTTACATGTATTGTAGGGACATTGAAACTCACCCACATCCGACCATGATAACTTTATATATAAAACAAACTAGTGTTCTTATTGAAAACAACCCATACACATTCAAATAATGCCTCTTAGTCTACTGTTGTATGTCATTTAATATTCGTTTGGGTTAATGTTTCTTTTCGTAGGGGGTGTAAAAGTAATGGTCATCGACAATAGTGTAATGTTTATTACAAAGACTAGACAAAATACACCGTCATAATAACAATAAACCGTCAACTGGGCATTACAATACGTAAGGGTACATAAAAAGAACTGTTATAATTACGTATTTTGGGTGTATATAACCGTCCGGTGAACCCCAAACGAATAACGAGTTTCCCATTTCCTGTGTAATCAACCGAACAGTAAATCCAATGTACGGTATATAAATCATAGATAACGAATTTCATCACGGGTTATGCCCGATAGCTCACAGTTCTGTCTTATTTCAGCAGACAAGGTAATTGGAATTTCCCAAAATAAGATCCTCATTTCGAAGGGCAATCATGCAGCTCAGCCAAAGTAATGAAATCGTAATGAAATACGGAGACGTTAATAAAGACAGTGCATATAGGCTCGAGGCATAGGTAGCCATATTTTCAGTTAAGAGAAACTGCATGGAGTATTCAAACCGAATAGCGGATTTCTGGGTCCCCATTTGAAAAGTAATGAAATGTTACGGCGAACAATTATTACATATTATATGAAACCATGTTTACATGTTAGCAAATTACCACATTCTGAGTTTGTAATTACTCTTCTACTATCCATTAATATGAAACGGACCACACGCATAATCCTGTATAAACATCGGTGTCAACGAGTGTGTCAGAAAATCTGGATTGCATAATGCCAATGTACGGCTTTAGTTGTTGGTAGTTATATGATCATGCATTTTGAATTCAGTTTTCGTTTTATTTGTTAGTCGAAACTATTGTGTCGAGTGTCACATCATTAAAGACCCCTTTCTGCGGTGGTTTTAAAGTTAAGTTTTTTACACCAATACATTGACTACTTTTATGTTGAGGAACCAACCAAGTTTCAGAGTTTCGGTGGATGCTACGCCAATATAGCTAGAATCTTAGGGTAACATTTATAATTGGTATTCAAGAAAATAAGTAAAAAACAAAACATTTTCCATCTTTTTGGGCTTGAATGCTTCTAATCTGCAAAATGTCTTAAGAGTATTCAGATAGAAGGTATTTTAACTTATGTGCAAATTTAAATTTAAGGAATATATATGACTTTACACAAATCCTTTTTTTTGCGTGTTCGTGACTATAGCAATTATCTATACAAGCTCGAGTTTGTAAGGAAATGGCCACTTGAAACATAACCTTAATTTTCAAAGCCAGTTACAAACACTTGTAAACAGTCTTTTGTAACGTTATCACTTGTACTCGGGTGCTACATGCTGAGAGTCGAAGAGATCATATTAATAGTTTTAATGAAATTCCCACCAAACTATTGAAATATTTGATTACATTTAAAAAAAAAAATAATAAAAAAATAAAAACAGAGCAAGTTTAATGGTGTATTTGAACTGGCTTGACTTGCTATACATAATATTTCTTGGTACACATTTATTTTAAGCCATGATGTAACGACATTCTAATGTTTTTGTATGTTGGAGATTCTATACGACGAGTTTACATATTAAGGCAAATTAAATGAATTGTGGTGTAACATCCGGCTTTTTTTCACTATCCGATTTAATCAATGCATTTCAATTAAACCCAACAGCTGTATTATACCCCGTTCCCCGATTACAAATCCCCCTTCGCGTAAATACAGAGCCCAACCCAAACCTGGTTTAGATCAATGATATACTTAAGTTAGGCCTGATTTAAAAAACAAATGTGCAATGATTATTCAAATTACACTAGAACCGTAATTGCAATGAATTATTCTTGGAAACATATCATCGTGTCAGTTTTATCATCCCGTTTAGGAGTGCCCGTGTTTTAAATAAAATAAAATTAATGAATGACGGATTCATATTAATGATAAGTCATCCTGCCGTAAAATGATATACAACAATGTCTTCGCTCTATTAATTTCAAGATTTACCCAAAACCAGTTTCTTTTCATTGAAAAACCACAAAGAGGTTGTGTTAGTCTATACGTACATGTAGCAGACAGCCCAACCACTTCAGTGACTGCCAATTCGAGATCATTCATTTACTCTCCATTCAAGCCATATCTTAATCAATTACATGACTTTTCAATGTGATCTATTTTATCGGTCTCTCCAGCTATCTTTTAGACAACGATTATGTCAACCATACAAGTATGTCCTTATTTAAAATACCGTATCTCCCATATGAAATTAAATCAATAACGATTAAGCACAATATTCGGCACGTAGACCATTTTAATCTTTCATTCAGTAACTTTATCGTTATATGTACAGAAATATCATTCACCCCAGAAGCTTAGAACATCGAATTTATTCGTTCATAAAACTTAGTTTATATCCATATTTCATATTTTATCGCAGGTATTAAAAATTCATGCATAAATTCGAGATTATTTCAATATAACAGTTATCTCATACTGGTCTATAACTTATTCTATATTCTATGCACAAACCACTAAAACTCGCCAACCACTTTTATTGGGTATTTTTGTATTAATCGTAAGTACCAGCTTTTGTGATGCAACTGCAATGAACGAAGTCTTCTGACTGGAGAGTTTTGGGATTGTTTGAATCACAAGCTATCTTCCATAACTCGGGAGTATGCATAAAGTGCCATTTGCCGAACGAATGTCTCTTTAGACCAGCAATGGTAGATATATATTTAGACTATTTGATTGATGAACGCGATGAATTCTTGTTCTCAACTGGGGGACCAGACTTACTTTGATCTATGAACCCGCCAGATAAAGATTTACCAGAAACCTATTTCTGAAACAATTTCTTGACGCAAATTAATGTCTTTGCTTAAAGTTTACAGATGAAGTCGTTTGTCTTAGTGATAATTTTACTTTCGAGAATAACTATTATTCATTGACTAGATATAACAAGAAACCGTCAAGCGTGTCAAAACATGTTTTATTTCAATAATAAAATACACCGTCTAGAAAATATAGGTTATCATTGTCATTCATTGTGATATTAACTTACGCCTACATATATAGTGCATAACATCTGACTTATGAAAATATTAGTCTCGCGCTCTCTCTACATTTGAGTATACTTCGGTATTGTGAATTTTATATATAATATACATATAAATGAAAAAGATTTCCAGGCCAGTCAAAAAGCCAGATCATCCCGATGCCAAATTCATCAGGAACAGATAGCAATGGAATGGTCGTTGATAGAACATCACCGTAAAATTTCACACATTCACTTACTATCTCTAGACATTTCACCGCTGGTCAAAGCTAATCAGTATAACAATTTGTCACCACGGGGGAATTAGGCTCTAATCACCACAAGTAGGATTTATCACTGATAAAACGCTCTTTTGTTTCAATTAATTATCCATATTCCGATCAGTCAGTAGCCAGGATCAAACACCAAGCTACTGATATCTCTTGGAACAGGCGAAGATCATCTTGTCCAGAATTCTTGTTGAATAACAGCTATTACATTGTGATATAATTCTTTTGATCTCACGATGTAAAGTGGCGTAAAGCTAAATATTACAACTTTATTAAAAACTTCAAAGGTTACAACCATGTTAAGCCCAGATTAGTACTTGCAGAAACAAAATTATAGATATGTTCACCCGCGATTAGCTAGGGATTATAGTTATAGTGGTTTAATTAGGAAATGAATTTGTGAAGAGCCAAATAATCTTCTTTAGTCAACAAGAGATAAGTATGTGGTAGATATTTTGCCTGGGGTGTTGTGTTTTGATTGAATGGTGATAACACCGTTACTAATCCACGAGGGGGACGTGCGGTTAACAAATTCTTTTATACCGCAGGCCTTCGTATTCTTCTAATGTTCTTGTTCTTAAATCTACAGTTAAATCCCGAATTTGATTATCGATAAAGTATGGCTATTAAAACAGCAGACAGCTGCACCTGGAAGCGAAGACGGTAGCACCCAGTATAATATTTCCAACTACAATAGATTCAGTAGGTCATGTAAATGTCGAAAAGGCACTCCTTGCATAACTAACATTGCCGCGAATTGAACCATCGTCCTGTAGGTCGTTTTCTTACTATTAACTTATCGTCACTCACAATACAGATTACATACATGTACGTAAGCGAATATGTTGTTAGCAGTGTAAGTCTATGTGAAAATACTTGAACCGAAATGAATGTATCACTTCCACCGTGCAACATATTATCTACATAGTCACCATTCGTGATGGTGTCCACAGGAATGAAGAGGATGGAATTACTCCATCTTGAAACCAGTCGGAACAGATTGACAAAAATCTGAGCAATTTTGACCTTTTTTATCTGTTAGAACCACAGAAATGTCTCAGTAGCCAGTATCTATTGTAGAAATATTGACTTCGCAATAATATGAATTTAATTTTCTTAACTTAAGACCCTTTATTGACCACCTTAAATACCAAGGTTTGCAATCTGGTAAAAGCATTTATTATTTAGCCGATGACTTGCTTATATTCAGTAATATATTTTACTTGCATGGTTCAGCACTCAAAATGGAGTAGGTATTATTGCCCCAGTCACCAAGATTTCTTCAAATTATGTAAACATTTGGTACCATAACTCATCACACTATAGCAGTAATTCATACACAAACTCTTATAATTAGTGGTATACACTTAATTGGCATTTCCTGGACCGCATGCTTGCTTCTGACGTAAAACCAGTCGCTTATGATCATAATGAAATGTTTGTATGTTAATTTATTTTTACACGTTTGGGGGGAAACTAGTTTAATTTGACACACCAAAAATATACGTACATTTACCTACTACTTATATATATGCCAAAACAACTGGATAATATGAATATTGGTTATGTTACACGTGTGCGTTTAATTAAAAAACCTAAAACGTTGAGAACGTTTTAATTCAAAGCATTCTCAACGTTTTTTTTGTGTTTTGTTTGTTTTAAATCAATGTAACATAATACAAAGCAAACATATTTTGATACTTTGACATTCTTTAAGGTTGTAGTTATGTATATGTTATTTGGATTGATGAAATAAATTTATTTTCTTTTCAGGATTACAAACCAACGGGATTTGACACGTTTTCTACAACATACAACGTATCGGAAACGTACAAAATACAGATTACCATTTGGGACACATCAGGTTCGTATTTCGTTTCCGTTTTTTATTCCGTATTTTGATAATGTCAAGAGTGTATTGATCACAATGGTTGCTGTTTTCTTGTCATCAAGCATTGTTAGAAAAAAAGTTCTTTCAAAACATGTTCATAATACCATATGTAATGAAGAAAAAAGATATCTCTAATATAAAAGTTTAGCAGACATTGTGTCTACGGCTTCTTTTATCTCGGCAAACTAACAATTTGGTAGAAGCTCTTAGCATTGGGCACTATTAAATACTTCTAATGTCATTTTAAATACACACATGTTACTCAACCAGTCAAATTTACATCATTATACAATCTCCATATAAATAAAATTGCTAATGTATTTTATAGATTATTTAATAGACCTTTGGCTTTCGACAATCACAATAATTCAAACTTCGTGCATTTTTTTATTAAATGCCAGATCGTTATATGCATATCATATTCATCGTAACATATTTTAGAAAATATTTTAGCCCGAACAAATTGAATCTAAACCGATTTAATGTTTCACGAAAACGCCTCATATTTTATTAACCTTAATTGTGAGTAATGCCGAATCCATTGATGCTTACTCCTTTTCCAAAATACCCATCTTCGTTCATTCTGGTTGGGGAAATGAAATAAGAATATTCATAATGCTAAACACCCTGAGTAAGAGATTAAAAAGAACGATTAATGGCTGTGAAAATATTTTAAATGAATCCTCTCGATTCTTCATCGGTACAACAGTACCCTATTAACAATTATCAGGAGACGGTGTTAAGTATATCGTTACATACAGATAACACATGTTAATGCTTTAACTTTGTACCAGACGCATTATAAACACTTGACTTTTTAAATCAATTCAAATTGCCGATAATGAGTCCTACATAAACAAAGCAAGTTCATCTGTGGTCTAGAACACCAGGATTTGAACCTTTGGCAGCCTCCAAAATCCTGACTGACATGTGGCAGTGACGACTGTGAACGTTAATTATCGTGATGTGACGTGGGGTGCTTGTGATCGTAAACTTGCCATCATCAACATAAGATTGTTAATTATCGCTAATGTTACACCTATTAACACCCTGTAAATATTCACTTCTGTATGTCAGCACTAATTTGTTCCGTATACATGTATTCTTTTTCAATCTGCACGAAGGGTTCATGATGACGTACATGTAATCACAGAATAGCTCGATAATTACTAATATAATGATTATTTTTTCAATGGCATTGCCGTTAAACATTAAAACAAAAGTGCAATAAACTCGTGTTAGCTACACATTGCTGAGAAGTATCAAAACAGAAGAATACCCTGTTCAGTGTACGATACCCGTCACGACTGATAACCTAATGGGGCGATCGTTTGAATTTGTACTTACCGTTCCTTACCCTGTTAAATGTACATGTATATAATATTTCAAATACTGCATGCTTTAGTAAGATGATTTTGGACGAAAGTGCAAATTGCAAAGAACAATTCCATAAGAATACCATAATAACTTGTGGGTGTCATCATCAAATAGAAAGAGTGAACAAAATTTAGGTTAATGAAACCAAATTAGTCATGATGGTCTTTTCTTAATTAATGAATCAGTTCCTCCAGGCGAATCATTTGTACTTTTGCCAAATGTCTCTGTTAATTATGATATTATACTCACAATTAGGCTAATTGGTTTTTGTTTCTAGCAGACAGAACTCAAAGAGGAAAGTATAAAAAATAGGACGTTTGTGTTACATAGGATATTGATGGATCAATCAAAAAAAAAACCTACACGTGTGACTTTATTGCCATTTTCCGTTCTGATAGATCAAGGGGAATATGTCTTTGATTATGAAGTAAGAACGAATGTCAGAATGGTCTGACTTTAAACAGAAACAAATGTCCGATTTAGTTCATGCGGGTTAATTTAACATATATTCATAATATTAAAATAACTTTTGTTATCAATACGAATATTGAATTTCTCATTAATAAATACACAATATTATAATAATTTTTGATTTCTTAACACTAGGGAGTTGCGGTTGCTCAGTGAGTAAGGCACTGACTCGATCACTAACCAGTAGGTGTAGGGTTCGATCCCAGGATTGACCGAAGATTGCCAAAAGCGTAATTTTCCTTGTCACTGGTGCAGGATGGAGGGTCTGACAAGGAACATTGTCTAGTCGTTCTGATGGGACGCAAATACGACATGTTGTGTACATAAAAGGGTCTTTGATAATTGGAATTCAATTAGTGCCCGGAAAACATTTCCCTTATAGTCCTTTTGGAGCATAAAATCAAAAAGTTAAACACCATTTCATTCATTCAATTTCAGTGGTTGGAAAATGACCAAACTATAAGCTCGTCTTCTATATTCGACTGTTTGTTTTCAACTGTTAAAATTCTGAACGGAATCCAATTTATTGATTCAGTTTATATTTTGTAAAAACTTCTGCATCTTAAAGGGATCAATAAGTATTGCCTCTTGGCGATTAAAATTGCAATATTAATGTCACGGCATCAATGTTTAAATGTTATGAAACATTTTCTACAAATCATTGATTTTCCAATATCGAAAACCCTAAAGGATATCTTTTAGAAATTTGTCTTTGTGGTCCCGTGACCGGATTCGTTTAATACCGATGTTTTTGTCTATTTTTGACGTTCTCAGTAAACATTGCAACAAAGCAGTTCTTGTAATTTCTGAGTTCCAATGGTTGAGCAGGAAAGGCATGGTTTCCTTGGGATGTATAAATAACAATTGAAAGCACTTTTCCTCGAGCTGTTTCATACATTCTTGACACCCTCTATTGGAGTCTGGGAAATAAACTCGTATAGATTACAGTTCAATGTTATCTGAAGAGCATATCTTGGCCATCTTTGTTCTTTTGGAAACAAAAAATCGTTCATGAATGGCTAAGAGAAGTAGCGTAATTTTGATGCATTGTAAAAAAAAATGTTAGAAAGGCACGGTGTCGTATAAAATCTGTTCAAGATATTATGTCATCTCTGTTTTTTGGTTGTTTTTTTTGGTTTTTTTTTTTTGTTTTGTTATTTTTTGTGAAAACATAAATGAGTTCGTTGTATCGCCCGAAGCCTCCTAAATGCATTTTTATTCTAGATGTTCTAAAAGAACCAATCCAGCATGAATAAATCTTTTTGCTAGCATATCTTGAACTGTGATCTGAAGACAAACATTAAGCACATGCCCTTAGGTTTGATTTGGATTTAACAACTTATACAAAGAAGGCTACACATGACAACGGTAAAGATCTTTATACACGCACGATATATTGTTAGCAATTCGAGTGGCTAGTTTTCTCCTACTTGGGGACTACCATATTCATGTAGTTAATACTGATAATAGCTAATTATAATATAACAAACCACTCGAAGAGCCCAGACCGTGAATTTACAAGTTTTGACTGGTATTAGTTACATGATAGACATATTATCAAGAGTATGAAAAGGTTAAATTTAGGGTGTACTCTTTTTCTATATATAACGTTGTGCTATGTGTGTACAAACCAGTGATTATGTTCCATATAAATTGTGTCGTGTTTCTTACTTTTCGAGTCTAAAACAAATACCGTTTTCATTAGCCCAGTCGGTTACGTTAAACCCCATTTAATTTCATTTCTTAAACAAATATGTGATTTCAATGTGCGAATTTATTACCTTTCCTGCTATTCTGTATTTTTGGGATTCCACTTTTATAGTTTAATTGCTGATACTCGATAATTTGGACGATTTGATTAGATTTCAAATTAGAATTGGGTAAAAGAAACTTGTATATTTCATTCAATAAAATCGAGTAATTTAGTCATATATCAGTTTTATTGAGGACATCTTGTCAAGTTAATGGTGGTTATACGGATTTTTTTAATTTGAATACTACTATACTATGACCATTAAGCAGAACGTGTTTGTATCGACATCGTTAACTTGCAAACAGATTGATTTGTTAGAGGAATGAGGCCGAGGATGAATAATGTCATCATTAACTTTACTTTTATATATTAGTGTCAGAAGTAACATAGTTTGTTTCTTGTAAATATTGGACACCATACAAGTTGTAAGAGCTTCATCCATAGCCTTAAATAGCCTGATCTGTATTTGTCTAAGGTTTATTGTTTACTTCAAACTGGTTCAATCAATATCCAAAATCTCGTTTAACCTCTCCATTGATCGGGTTGTGTTCGTTTATTGCCCAGCTTGTTGATAGCAAACAGCGAACTATTATTTCACCTGTTATCACAGCAGGAATCGAAGGAGCAAAGACCTGTTTTATAGGTATAATCTGATAGTCTTGACCGTAAATACATCTACCTGTACATACATGTAGTAATCTAATACCCCACTGGTATATTTGTTTATGTTTTGGGACTTTCGTTGTGTGTGAAATGAATAGATCAAAAGTTTGTTTCTACTAGACAGGAAAGAGGAGTCCAGCCCATATTTCTAATTCGCTTTCTCTTTGTAGAAAACTTAGTACCACTTTCTATTTGATAAGTTGATAGATTACATATCAGTATGTTCAAAAGAGTCTGTCAATCTCAAATTGTACTCTTTGGATTATTATTATTTTTAACTTTTTTTTCTTAAAAGTAAGTAAGGTCAATGGGAAAATCGGTGAAAAACCCCTTCAGAAAATGAGGTAAAGAAAAACATTAAGCTTATGATAATAGCATTCATATCAGTTGTTCGTATGATGGATGATAACATTAATTTATGAATTGACAAATATCAATTGTTCGTATGACTTTATTATCAAAATTCACTAATGTACCATAATATGTGGGTCATTTAAAAAAGGGTATTCTATTTGTTATCGTGAGAGTTGGGTTGTGTAAAACGAATGATCAGTCATCCAAAATGCATTCTGATTAGATTGAGGCCCACCTCAATACTAATAAATCACAATGTGTATCGCCAGGGGCCAGTATAAATAACCACTTATATTTTTTTATCCTTTAAATTGTGTCGTACATCAGTGAGTAAGTGGGTTAATAAAACACTATA